ATAGAAACAAACAACGAATCTCAACCCCCTTCCAGCACATCTGGTATGGAAAATTGCTCAGGGCTTCAAGACAGACCTGTGCGTCCAGAGAACAGCTATTGGTAATGTTTGCAGGAGGAAAGTGACACCTACCTGGCCAGTACGTTTGAAGATACCAACCTGACCGCTACCTATGCCACATGTGTAACAATTATGCCAAAAGACAGCCAGCTAGCGTGCTGGGGAGTGTAGAATTTAAGACCTGGCTGCCATGAGAAATGTTTCCTTGTCAACATTACTTTTCTCTTCTTCCCATTACTAGCTCTTCTGATTTTCTCCCCATGGAGTCAAACATGATACCTAAGTACATGATTGCAAGTGGAAAAACAGGGATTATAAATCAGGCATTGGCAGTTCTCCGGTTTCCACTTATGTGTGAATTTCAAACAAAAATGCGGGGTATAAAGCATTTTCAGGGAAAACAAGTTGTTTCAATCATCTAACAATTATAAATTAACCTGCTAAAAAAATTCTGGACATGAAATCATCTGAAACTGTTGTAAGTAAATAATTTTTCCTCCCTCTGTTTGTTTTTTGAGACAGGGTTGTGTGTGTGTGTGTGTGTGTGTGTGTGTGTGTGTGTGTGTGTGTGAACTGGCTGTCCTGGAACTCATTCTGTAGACCAGGCTAGCCTAGAGAACTCACAGAAATCAACCTGCCTCTGCCTCCAGAGTGCTGGGACTAAAGGTGTGTATCACCACCCCCGGCAGTAAATAAATTTCTTATTGATGAGACACACACACACAGGCAAACAAACAAACAAACAAAACCAGTATCTTAACAGCATCAGCTAAAGCTATCCAGGAAAGGATTATAACAACTACTGAAGGCCCCTAATGGAGGCAGAAAAGAAGTCAAGCATGCATGCCTATAATCTTAGCACTAAGGAGGCTGGGGCAGGAGAATCACTAGCTCCAGGCCAGCCATAGCTACTTAAGGGAGACTCTGTCTCAAACAATAACAGTAAAGAACAACAGGATGACCAGGCATGGTGGCACAGGTCTTTAATCCCAGCACTTGGGAGGGAGAAGCAGACAAAGCTCTTTGAGTTCAAGGCCAGCCTGCTCTATATAGCAAGTTCCAGGACAGTGCACTGTTACACAGAGAAACCCTGTCTTGAAAATCAAGAGGAGGGAGGGAAGGAGGGAAGGAGGGAGGGAGGGAAAGAGGGAAAGAGGGAGGGAGGGAGGGAGGGAGGGAAAGAAGGAGGAAGGGAGGGAGATGCCTATGAATGTTAAATCTCTCCAATAACCACGTTTCACTTACAATCACAAGAAAAAGATTCTTGCCAATACCCATACTTTAACTACCACTGTGACCTTCAAATTTTCAAAGGTAATTAGGTTGCTTGACAAAGTGTCATCGCAACCTAACTATCAGTTGAGAGCAAGGATGAAGCTATAATAAGCTATGCAGTTACCACCTCTCCACTTCAACACTTCCTAGTCCGTCTCTGACTGCAATCTCCAAGCTATTCTTTGCACACATCTTTTAGGTAATGTCATCACATGACTTCTAAGACTAACCAAGGAATCAGGATGAACCATGTTCACCAATAGTAAAGCATATGTGGGTTATTTTCCCCCAGAGGCAAAAAAAAAACTAAATAAATAAAAAACAAATGACCAAAAGGTATCTCATGAAGCTAAAAGGTCAATAATTTAGCAAAGTTTATCAGTATTAACTTCATACAAGAGAATAAAAACATCTTTATTATATAAACAATTTTAATAAACTTTTACAAGGTATGTATCCCATACTTTGTCAGGAATAAAGGCAAGCACAAAGTAAACCGTATTCAATATTTCTTTCCACAAATGTTTACTAAGTACCAATCTTGACAGACAGCAATTTTACAAGAATAAATCTTTGAATTCTTGCCTTTGTGTAAAGAGAGGGAGAAAAACTGGTAGGTCTAATGACAAGTCTTGGTGAGACGTGTGGTCCACCAGAGAAGCCCTCTTCTGAAAGGGTACTGGGAAGTTAGAAAGGCTCACAGGGGCACTCTGCCATCATAAATCGTTAGAAATCCCTAAAGCAAGAAAGCCCTAACTTTAAGAGGAAGAGAGACCCAAAACACTGAGAAACATGTTTATTAATTCAGCTCAACATCAATCTCCAAGTCACAAAGTACACAAGAACCTAGGACCCAAGTAAGGGAATGACTGAAAAATATTCAACAGCAACTTGCTGATTCCTTCAAAGTGTCCCCTTTACACAGAAATGTGAGCATGAAGGAAAGAGCAAACACAACCAGGATGACGCCAAAAGCATATTCTAACTTTCTGTAAAAGCAAATACAATTTAAGTTTATCATCTTGCTAAATATAGAAAGCAGAGAATTATCAGTGGTGATCAAAGCTGTCAGAAACCACCAAGTCACAGATGACTAATGGGGTTTAAAATGTGATAACAGATACTGAGCACTATACCAAAAATAAACAAACAAAAGAACAAACTCACTATACTCTTACCAACGCACATGAAAGAGTGACCAATTAAACAAATACAAGGTTTAAACTTCCACAATCGACTTCTGCAGTGAATCTTTTCAACGTTTATTGAACATGTAATAAGAATTGGTATAGTATTTACTCTCTTGTAGAAAACTGCTTGATTTGTAACAGCCAAATGGAACAAAAAGCAAGCATTAGATGGTAAAATTAATTTCAGAGACAAGCTTAGACAAACCAGGCTGAAACCACTGACCTATATTGCCTTAGAAGAGTGAATTTACTTTCATGATATAGTATGTTAAATATAAAGCTTAGCTTCAAATTGAAGAATAATTTTAATAGCATCTAAAGGTTCTCCAAAAAAGAAAAAAAAAAACAGAAAATGTGACCTAACCATTACATAACAATAAAGCTAAGAAAAATCAGACATTTTTGGAAAAATAACTTCATTATGAAAGCTTTCAATTACAAGTCATTTCTAAAAATAGGACTGTTCAAATGTGAGGATAATGTAGTATGAAAAAGATAATCCCATTATTCATTTAAAGTTCTTTAATTTCTTTCACTGTATGCACAACTCTTCACCTGCAGAAAAACTGGGGGAGGGGAGAGGTCTCCCAAAAAGCACGCCAACTCCAAAACGATATGTAAAAGTTTCAATTTAATTCTTATAAAACAGAATCACGTTAAATCAAATACACCTTATTTGAAATTCTTTAAAGTTAACACCTCAATTGAAGACTAAAAATTGGGCTGAATACTACTTCTCGACGGAAAAGATGCCTCTTAACCATACTTCAGAACTCTCAAAAAAAAAAAAAAAAGAATTCACATCACTAACAATATTTTACCTCCAAATCTTATCCTGCCACTAAAAAAAAAGAATAATAATCAAGCTAATTAATCTGAAAGACAAGACAATGCTGAAGGTAAATTACTAGACGACTACTTTCTAAAGAATATCTATGAATGAACACTAACTACCCAGTAAATCTGCTTACTAAAACGTAACTCGTAAAGTCATTGTAGAAGGCGAATTATGAATCAGGAGTAACAACATCGCCGCGGTGGCGTTCAAACTGGCAACCTGAACCCAATAATTTACCTTAGCTTGTCAATTAGGGCTCTAACTAGGTCAAGTGTGCTCACAAAAAAAAAAAAAAAAAAGGTGAGCGGACAGAAGGAAGGGAAAGCCACCCTCCGCGGGCAAAATTAAGTCAAAAGTGGGGGGGGAAAAGCCAAGCGTGAACGCGATTAAATCGGAAGAGACTGTTCCAAACCTACCTACCAAAATACATGCCTTCGCGCTTAAGCGCCGCGGCTGTATTTTAGCAAGCACCTTGTACTTATTTATTTATTTATTTATTTGCAGCAAATCAAAACTAGTGCTATTTCCTGATCGGACACAATTCCATGCCGGGTACAGTGCGGGGCTGTGCGGTGCAAATCCTCCTCCGTCGGTGTCCCCCGCTGTCACCCACCCACCCACCCACCCACCCCGGCTCGGCTCGCACCGCCTCTGGGGTACTAAGCAAAGCGTTTTAGGTACCTGCCTGCACCCCACCCCCAGGACCCTTCCGGAACACGCCTCCCCGCAGCCCTCACACCAGGCGCGGCTGCAGCGGGCTGCAGCAGGGGTGGCCCCCCGCCATCGGTGCCCGGGCACAGGCCCGGATGCACCCGCGCGCTGGGCGCCCGGGGAGGCTCTCACGCCGCCGCCGCCGCCGCGAGCACCGGCCGGTCACGTGCCTCGGATGGGGGGCCGGGATCCGCGTCCCGACACTAGGAAGACGCCATCAAAGGGACTGGCCGCGCGCGCGGTCAGGGACACGTCCGCCCCAGAGCCCCGTGGGGCGAAGGGGGGGGAGAAGCCCACGGCCTGGAGTGGGAGGCGTGGAGAGACGGGGCGGGGTGGGGGTGGCCCGGAGGCACAGGTGGGTGGCGTGGGGGCACAGGTGGGCGGCCAGGTGCGCCGAGGGGGGGGGGGTGTGGGGACGCGAGTACGCGACCGGGAAGGGTCCCGGTGACCCAGGCGGGGGTCTGAGGACACACGTGGGTGGCCAGCAATGGGGAGGGGAGGGAGGGAGATGTGTCCCGGGGACACAAGCGCACGTCCAGGTGCGTCCCCCAGGGCGCAGGTGGCCAGCTCGCCCGCTCCGCAGGCCACCGAGCCGCCTCGGACCCCGCCCGGGCGGCGGGGCGCGGCAAGAGGCGACAAGGACGGCCGCCCCTTGGGACCCTGGTGGCCAGCACGGTGGGCGGAGGCCGAGGGGACCGGTCGGCGGGCGAGGGCGGGTCCGCGGTCTGGCTGGCTGGCTGGCTGGCTGGCGGGAGGGCGAGCGAACGAGAGAGCAAGCGGGCGGGCGAGCCGGCGGGGGAGGGGCGGCCGCGGGACCCCGCTGCGCTCTGCCTCCCTTCCCCGCGGCCTCCGCGTCGCCGGCCTGCGCGCGCCCCGCTCCCCTCTCCTCTCCTCCCAGCCCCGGCGGCGGCGGCGCTGCTGCTTACCTCGGTCGGCTGGCTGATCTCGAACAGGTCCAGCCGGTTGGCGTTCCAGTGGTGGATGATGTCGGCCAGCTTCCGCCGCTCCTCGTCGCGGCCGCCCGCCGACATGGTGGCGGCCGCTCCTTCCCCCTCCCCACGGCCGGCCGGGCTCCAAACACCGCAGGCCGCCTGGACACCGCCGCCCGCCGCTCGCCGCCCGCCGCGCGTCCTCCGCCGGGCTCGGCCCGCGTCCGGCCCGCGCCGCCGCCTCAGCCCGCCCTCAGCCAGTGGCCGGTGCGCCGAGCGCCGCCCCCCCTCCCGCCCGCCGTGCGCGCCGCGCGGCCGTGCGCGCCCCCTGGCCGCGCGCGCGCGGGGGTGCGTGCGTGCGAGCGTGGGCGCGCACCTCCGCGCCGCTCCGCTAGGTGCTGCTGCGGGGCCGCGCGCTCCGGGGGCGGGGCGGGGCGGGGCCGGAGGAGAAGGAGCAGGGGACGCGCGCCCGCCCGGTGTCCGCGCGTGCGCGTGCGTGTGCGCGCCGGCGGCGGCCGCCGTGAGTCCTCGCGCCCGCGCCGCTTCTGGCCGGAGCCCGCTGGGTCCCGACGACGGCCGCGCAGGGTCCGCCCTGGGCAGGCAGAGGTGTGGCGGCGGGCTGGCCGGCCGGGCGGGCCGGGCTTGCGGGGCGGGCGAGCGGGCGGCGCGGCGTCCTGACGGGTGGGGCGGGCCCGGAGCTGCGGAGCCGGGCAGACAGGTGGGCGTGGGCCGCGCGGCCGGCGGAACTGGCTCTCCCTCCCGCCGCCGCGGCCCTGACCCCTGGGGTGCACTGGCTGCTGGGGTCAAATCCCGGCTGACCTTCCCTCCGGAGGAAAGATAAATTATTATGGTTGTGGGCGAGCGTCAGGGCAAATGTTTTCCGAGCCCTCCTCCGGGCTCCGGGTGCTGTCCGAAGCCCCCGCATTCCTCAGCCCCGGGCGGGGAGCGGCAGCGGCCTTTGTGTCTCCCCGGGGGAGCGCAGTGCCACCTCGGAGGAGACAGCGGACCGGGGTGAAAGCAAACGGAGTGACATGAGCGTGAGGGTTTTTTTTTTTTTAATGGTTTCTTTGTTTTGTTTTTTGTTTGGTTATTTTGTTTTGTTTTGTTTTTTGCAATCTTTTAAAGCGTCCCTGTGAGCCCGGAAACCTAAAAATTAACTTCTGCAGCAAACGTTGTGGGTTTTTACCGACGTCTGTGCCTTTGTCTTTTTCATTGCCTCCTCCCTGCCGAAAATATTTGCTCGCTGGAGAGCACATCCTAGAGAGCTACCGCCCCCCATCCATCCAGGTAAAATTGGTCTCTGGCTTCCTCTGTGGCACGCTCTCGTGGCGGGGGGGCCTTCACCCAGGCTGAGGGTGAGACGCCCTATTAGACGCGGGCCTCATTATTTTTGCTATGAAGATGCTTTCCCTCCACCAGTTGGGTTTCTTCTTTTGTAGGAGAGAAGAGCATCTGTCCTCCAGGCTTTGTCTGCTCTGCGACGGGCCCTAGCATGGCCAGGCTACATAAGGAGGCTTTTCAGCCGAGGAGCCGGGTGTTGAACTCGTGCCATGGGGAATGAATTCTCCCTTAGACCGCCCCCCCGCCCCGTCCTCTTCTGGAAGTCGAAGAGGGGCGGTCTGCAGGGAAGCATATGTGTGTGCATGCATCTTCCTGCCCTGACCGTCTGTCTGTCCTGTGTGCCTTCAAGTTCTCCAGCTTCGCTGTGGACTCGGCTTTTTTATGGTGATGAGATCCCTAGTGGCAGCGAGGCTCAGGACCCTCGTTAGACCCCCAGGCACGCTCGCACGCAGGCACGCACGGTATGAACTGATTTTGACAGTTAAGAAGAGCTTTGCACCTGAACAGTGACTGGCTCTTACAGAATTGGTTTGCAAGGCTAGCAATTAGATAACTAATTCCCATGGTGCTGTATTGCCGAAGGGGGAATTCAGTGTTGCTGGAAATTGAGTATGGACTCTCTGGTGTTGTTTCTATTGCAGGGGGAGGGGAGGCGGGAAGGGGAGGAGGGATGTGTATGTAGAGAAGCCACCTAACAATGCAGGGTATGCGGATGGCCCTGAGTTGCCGTCAGCTACCGTTGGTTTCTGGTTTTCTGAAAGGCTCCATCTATACCCGTCTTGAGCAGTGAATCAGTTCCCAAACTATAGTTAATAGTAAGTCATTAGCTTACTGATAAAGGCTGGAAAGCAATTTGAAATATACAGAGTACCTGTGGTTCTCGGTCACAAATGCTCTAAGAACTATTTTATGTTTAGCCTAAAAAAAGCTTCAGGTGGACCCATTCCTCCACTGTCATTGTTTGAGACACAGAGATCAAGTGGGGAGTGGTTGCCCAGGCCTCTGCCCCAAGAGTGGGGATGGGGGGGGGCAGGAAGATGAGGAATTATATGAGTTCAAGAACAAGAAAAAGGCACCAAAATAATGTTCGGAGTCATGTGAGGTGTGATATCCCATATAAGAATAAGAAGCCGGGCGTTGGTGGCGCACGCCTTTAATCCCAGCACTCGGGAGGCAGAGGCAGGTGGATCTCTGTGAGTTCGAGACCAGCCTGGTCTACAGAGCGAGTTCCAGGACAGCCTCCAAAGCCACAGAGAAACCCTGTCTCGAAAAACCAAAAAAAAAAAAAAAAAAAGAATAAGAAGACATAAGCCAGTCATAATAATCTATAGCCCGAATATGAGGGGGACGGGGGCTCAGGCTGCATGATTCCAAGCTCCATCCGTAGGCAACTTAGGAAAACCATGTCTCAGAATCAGTGGTTCGGTGGTCCAGAGGGTCCTCGCATGCATGAAGCCCCAGGTTCCGTCACCAGTATCATAGAAAGAATTATGTTTTTAAATATGCTCAAGTGACGTGTGAAAATAAAACCCTGGTCCCTTTTGGGTCATAGCACGGTGACTGGTCATGCATGATGGCGTGACACCAAGAAGAAGGAAGAGAGGCCCAAGATCCTGTGAGTTCTGCTAGCCACGTCCACGCAAGGACTCAGGGAGGGACCCTTGTGTGTGAAGCCAGACAAGGCTGCACTCGACGAGGCCGGCTTTGTAACACATTCGTCAGTTTTGAGGTTTGTTTCCACTTTATACTCAGCCCCTGGTTGTCCCTCTTAAAGCTATTAAAATAGTCACATACTAAAGAATAAGAGCCATTAAGTGCTAATTTTCAATAAATTTCTAGCTTTTGTTCCTCAGGCTGACTTTGTGTTTGCTGTGTAGCCAAAGATGACCTTGAACTTCTGATCCTCTCTCCCTTTGGGCCTCCAGAGTAACAGAACGGTGTGTGTGTGTGTGTGTGTGTGTGTGCAGTACTGGTGGTTTGAACACTTGGCTTCCTGTATGCCTGGCAAGTCCTCTGTCCAATGGAACTACATATCCAGCCCTGAAACACTCTGCCACACACATGCCCGTCCTAAATACACACCAAGAATGAAGAGTGGATGTCCAGGCATGGGAGCAGCTGGGTCATGGCCGAGCACTGCTCTCTAAAAGGGCACACACAATGGCAAGAAGGCTAAAAGTGGAACCCGCTGGATGCTGGGGCCCACACCTGCAGCCAGAAGTTTCCGTCCTGCCCAGTCCCCGAAGCCGGTCAGTACCAAATAAGTGCACCAAGGCTTATTTTGATTATAAACTGTTTGGCCGATGGCTCAGGCTAGCTCTCTCTTAATTATTAACCCATTCCTATTAACATGTGTACCTCCACATGATCTTGGCTTACCAGTGATGCCCTGGTCTCTTGCTTTCTCTGCAGCTACATGACATCACCCTGGAGACTCACTCTCTGCCTTCCTCTTCCCAGCATTCTCCTAGTCTGGTAGCCCCGCCTATACTCCCTGCCTGCTACATCCTGCCCGTCCATTGGCTGAAACAGCTTTATTCATCAGCCAACGAGAGAAGCAAGCATTCACAGCGTACAGAAGGACATCCCCTGTCACACAGCAAATCTAGATCCCGCACGGGGCTAGGTTCTTGCCGGGTGGGGAATGGTGGCATAAACCGCCCTCGGAGAGGAGAAAGCCACTGCAAGGGTAGCATGCAGGTGTGGTCTACAGCGCCAGAAGGGAAGCCACTGGTGCAGTAACTATGCTTAGCCCCGGCAGTGAGCGAATCAGATTCACCCATCCACGCCAACAGGTGCTTGCTCCCTTGGTCACAGCCCTTCCCAGGAAGGGAGACTGCCGAGAGTAACATAAGCTAGCTAGCCAGAAATTCCTAAAGTGCAGAGAGATTGAATGTCAAAGCACCATCTAGAGAGAAATTCACTCCAGAGGAATAAAGCTGCTATCCTGAAAAGAGCTTAAAAATAAATGCGTTTTAGGAACCTCGAGGAGGTGCATGAAAAGGTAGCATGCAGAGGGCTAAGGGGTGATAAGGGAAGAAGCCAAGCTGGGAAGAGTGGAGTCTCTTGTGCGTCTAGCTCCCAGGTGGCATCAGGAGCCCCAGATCAAGGCCAGCCCGGGCTACACAGACTCTGTCTCAAAAACAGGCCGATTATGTGTATAACATGGGTATGACCTCAATTGACTTAAACCTAGCAAATACGCCTCCAACCTAGTCCCAAGCACAGCAAGTCAGACTTCTGGGTGTTTTTGTCCTCCCCCGGTGAGTCTGATGCTGGCTGGGGATTGAGAATCATCGGCTGAAGTAAATCTCCAGATTCCGATTGACCTTGGGGCCACACCACTTTTCCAAGGTCACACATTCCCTTCTGCTCAGGTGAGCCTGTTCCGCTCCGACACTGAGCATGCCTGTGGCCAGAGGAGCAGCACGGACCCATAGCCACAATCCCAGGCTTGTGACCCACCCCTGACACTATCCGGGACCGTGAGCAGGTCCTTGCAGCTGTCCGCGCCTCCGTTTCCTCGTGTGGAAAGTAAGCAAGGGTGACGACACACATGAACTGCCTCACTGAGCTGCTACAGGGGTCACATCCAGGCAAGGTTTGCCAATACTTTTCCACGTGTCTCTCTGAAATAAGACACTAAGAAGTGTCTGTTCTAGATCTCAACATGGGCAACTCGAGGGAGGCGCTGAAGAGCTCTGGGGGAAACCGTACAGAAGCCACCACACAGAAAAGGGGGGTAGATTTTAGCTTACACGTCTTTTCATTTTAATTATTAGAAGACACTGCATTAGAACTCCCATTCGTTCAGACGATTTCCATAAAGTTCTGGAGTCTTTGCAGGACTTTAAGTTATAAGGAGACTGCAATATCTTGCTGTGTTCTTGTGCTTTGGAGAGGAAGGGACTGTGTTATCCTAATAAAGTTTTGACACATTATATACTGTACCTTTTTAAACTGTGCATTCAGTGTAGAGGGAAGCCCATTCTTACCTATCCTTACCAGAATCCCATGTTCCTGAGGGTCCCCAACTCTTGAGCTCCTGGGCTCATGGCCAAGGCCACCTCTGCTGTACGCAAGCTTCCGCTCTGTGTTGCTGAACTCGCAGAACATGGAATTTCACTTTCCCCCCTGTAACAAAAGCATGGCCACATGACTTGTTTTGGTCAGCAGAGCCACGAACTGGTATGTCGCTTCTGGTGTAAGCGGTACACTGCTCCACCTTTCCTCTCACAGTGACTGGGGAAAGAGACACCAATGATTGGAGATGTCACAATTCCCCGGGAGCCAGGGCTCAGCCACAGCCACAAGACAATGGCTCTGGAGGGCCAACAAGTCACCACAGTGTTACTTAAAAAAAATTGATTTCTGTTGGGAGGCTGAGGCAGGTAGGTCTCCGTGAGTTAGAGGCCAGCCTGGTCTGTCGTCAGAGTTCCAGGCCAGCAAGGACAAGACAATACGGCCCTGTCTCAGACTTTATTATTATTACTATTATTATTATCATTCTCATTATTATTAAAATTAACAATTAAAATGTCAGATTGAGCTGGCGTGATGATCCTGTGGTTAAGAGACACCAGTCCCGTTCCCAGAACCCCTATGAGGTAACTCCCAAGCTCCCTGTAACCCCAGCTTCAAGAGATCCAGCACCCTCTTTAGCCTCATAGGACACTACACCCACATGTACAAACCCACACTTGGACATACATATTCATACACATATACTTACATATACCTAATTTAAAGTAAGCCTTTAAATCATTATAGATAATTATTTCTAAAGTTTTTTTTTGTTTGTTTGTTTTTTAAACAGGGCCTCATGTAGCCCAGGCTGACAACAGCCCACTTCAATGTGTAGCTCTGAAGATGACCTCAAACTCCGGATGCCTCCTGCTGCAGCTCCCTAGGTGCTAGGATTGTAGGCATGATCCATCTCTCTCTCTCTCTCTCTCGCACACACACACACACACACACACACACACACACACACACACACACGAGTCTTACAGTGGATTTTAATTGAATGGTCACAAGAAAAGCCAACTAAAAAACAATTGTAAGAAATGTCGAACACTATAAAATGGAAACTTTTAAAGTTATTCAGATCTGTCTTGAATTCCATTTGGTCTGGGCCTCTGTCTTGAAGTGCATGAAAATGCTTGGTTTGAGGCTTTTAGTCGCATTCTTACCAGGGATTTAAGTAAACATTAGAAGGGAAATGAATAAATGTATGCTTATTGTAGATAAGCTCAGGTTTTTGACAGGAAGAAACCAATCCTCATTCAGACACTAAATCCTTTACATAGCAAGCTGGGACCACGAAGTTTCAGCAGTCCAGCATGAGGCCCGGTGTGACCAAAAATGCATTATTAATGAAATCTAGTACTTGGCAGCTTCAATTATTTGTGGTTGTAATTCCTATGAGAAATGTAAGATATCGTCAGCATCTTTTAAAACATTAACCTCAGGAGCTGGTTATGAGAGACTTTTGTATGATTCTAGATGTTACCTTGAATTGGGATAAAGGTTTCTGACTCAATGTTAAGATTCCTCCCTCCCCCAAAGGGTAATATTTAACCCTTAATTTCCCATACAGTTGTTAAAGAAGACAGTATTACAGTTCGAACTGGAATGCTGAAATATCAGTAAAAGAAAAATGGAATCTTAGAAAAGGGCTATAGTCTAATTTAGTCTAGTTTTCTGCACCACAAATTTGCCTTCTCCCAAGCAGTTTGGTCATGTAGACTGTGGGGTTAAGTAGTAAGCAAAAGTAAATGTTCTAAACAGGGGTCTACAAACCTGCGGGCCCAGTACGGCCTACATCTGGGTTTTTGTAAGCTTAGAGTGGGAGTTTGATAGGTTGGGTTTTATTTTTCTCAATACAGGATTTCTCTGGCTGTCCTGGAACTCACTCTGTGGACTGGGCTCCTTCTCACAGAAATCTGCTTGCCTCTTCCTCCTGAGTGCTTGGATTAAAGGCATGTGTCATCACACCCAGATTTCCTTTTTTTTGTTTGTTTTTTTTGTTTTGTTTTTTCAAGGCAAGGTTTCTCTGTGGTTTTGGAGGCTGTCCTGGAAATAGCTCGTGTAGCCCAGGCTGGTTTCGAACTCACAGAGATCCGCCAGCCTCTGCCTCTCCAGGGGCTAGAGAGGTCTTATTATGAGGAACAATAGTACTGGGATTAAAGGCGTGTGCCACCACTGCCTGGCTCTTTCTTCCTTTTTTAAAAGACTGGCTGAGTTTGAACTCTTGTACCCTTTACCTTAGCCTCCCAAAGGATAGGACTATAGGCACACACAACCTCATGCAATTACATTTTTAAATTGTCGAAAAAGTAAAAATGAGTTGAGCTGGAAAGATGGCTCAGTGGTTAAGAGCACCGGCTGCCCTTCCAGAGGACCCGGGTTCAATTCCCATCACCCACATAGCAGCTCACAACTCTCTGTAACTCCAGTTCCAAGGGATCTGACACCCTACGTACATGTAGGCAAAACACCAATGCACATAAAGTGCAGATTAAAAAAGAAAAAGTCAAAATGAATTACAACAAATTACAATATACTAACTTTAAAAGCTAAGTGTAAGATACCAGCTAACAGATACTAAGTTGCAGAAGAAGCCAGAGAAGGAAAATGCCCAGTTCTGGAAAATCCATATCACTATGGACTTGTTTGACAGGAAAACAAAACAGGTAAAATTTAAATATTCCTTAGAGAATGGTGACAATCCCAAAGAAAGAATCAAGGTCCAAATGACACTGACATTTTAACTAGGCAAGATCAGCAGCCTTTACCTACATGGGATCCCTCTAAGGTCACTTGGAGAGTTCACAGACGGTCCTCTGGGGAAGAACTTTAATCCCTAATTAGATTGTCTGAGGAAGCAGCTCTAGGGAAGATTGTTATTTTTTTTAACTTGGCAATTATATTTTCTTAGCCGAAGACAGACAATAATTATGGATGCCCTTCTGTTTTCGAAAAAGCATACAGATTAATTAAGGAGCACCTTCAGCTGATCCAGGCAGAGGCCTGGGAGGACAGAGCCAGAACGGCGCCGCCATGCTCGTCTGTGTCTGTGAGCCCAGGAGCAGGTTCCTCTTCACAAGCTGTGCTCAGGTGAGAAGGCCGTGCGAGGGGCATTGGGGAAGCAGGTGAACACTTGCGCCAGTCCGGACCAGCCGTGCTCAGCACCTTCCGCCACACTGAGAGCTCCCTGTAGTAATCAATCCCACAACAGCTTTTCTTCTTTAACCGTCACAGGTATTCTCTATCTTCATTTCTGAGAAGCCAGCCTAGCCCATTGCGCACTGCGGCGGGTAATACTCTGTCCCCTGTACTCTTGCAATATCGTTTTCTAAATCATTCATTCCCCCCTTAACACTACATTACTGCAAGGACCTAACCAATGCACATTTTATGGGGATCACATATAGAAAAGATTACACCCCATAACTGTACAGCTTCATTAACTTTAAAAGCAATTAAAAAGAAAAAAACCCCACTATTCCCACCCCGAAGAAGGCTTGCTTCTATCTCTCCCAAAACTTCCCCTTCATCTTCTGGCAGAGTTGAGCGCTATCCTGACCGCTGCCATCACAGGTTAAGTCATCTTACTTTTGAAGTTTATGGTGATAGAATCCTGTGGGTTCTATCTGTGTTCATGTTTGGTTTCTGTTGCTCAAATCGTGTCTTTGTGAGTGGGAGACAGCAGTCTCTCTGCAGGAATTGCTGTGTCCCATAGCTGGTGAGCTTGAGTTCGTCTCAGGATCTTCGCTCTTTAAGGCAAGTGCTGGCCTGGATAGTTCCAGATGTTCCCCATGTACCATTACACCACTTGCGTCTGGATGCAGAAGTTTCGGGAGCAGAGGTGTGTGCCTGTGCCCAGTTTTCCAAGTCCCCAGTCCGTTTCTGTTTCCATCGGCAGCTCCTCAGGACCCCAGTGGACAATGACAGTCTCCAGCCATCCTGGAGGGTTGTAATCAAGAGTTTAGAGTCTTATTTCACATTTTCCCTACTTTTAGTGAAAACATTTTCTCACATAGTAGTTGTTTGGGTAGCACCTTTTATGACCTCTTGAAGTCTCCTGTTTTGTGCTCACACAGGCAAGTGTACACGTATGCACACATTATATGAAGGCCAGAGGTCAACTTTGGCATCATTTCCCAGGTGCCACCCACATGGCTTTTTGAGAGATTCTCTCACTGGCTTGGAGTTTGGCAACTAGGTTAGGTTGTCTGGCCAAGCCCTGGGGAATCCCTCCTGCTTCTGCCTCCCCACTGCTGGGGTTATAAGCAGGTACCAACACGCCCAGCTTTTACTTGGGTTCCGGGCACAAAACTCAGTTCTTCCTGTCTGTGCAGCAAACACTTCATGGACTGAGCCGTCTCCCCACCCGCTGGGTCATCTGTCTCAGCTACCCGGAAGAGATACTGACGCATTCTGGATGAGAAGTTGGCCTGCCCCTCCCTCCGAATTCTGTCTTCTCACCCTTGTACATTGCCCTTTGTTCTAAGATTTAAACTTTGATTTGCCAGTCCTTCCCTTTGTGGTCATGGTTCTTTTACATGCTATCTGAGAAATTTTCTCCACCTCATAAATGTTTTATTTCAATTCCTCGAGTCTTTGTGATAAACCCTTCACGCTTAGGTAGCACACCAAAAATTAATTTGGGGGTTCAGTCCAGGTTGTGCTTTATAAGCAGCACCTGTTGAAGAAAGCAATCTCTGTGCTGCGAAATGTAACGGCATTGCCTTGAGTGTGTGTGTGTGTGTGTGTGTGCATTGTCTCACACTTCCTTTGACCTCTGTGCTATCATGTAACAAAGCATTGTCTTAGTCACAGAAATCATACACCAAGTTGTATTCAAGACTGAATTCTTCTACCTGGGTCTTCTTACAAAAATCAGTCATCACCGGGCGTTGGTGGCACACGCCTTTAATCCCAGCACTCGGGAGGCAGAGGCAAGCAGATCTCTGTGAGTTCGAGGCCAGGCTAGACCGATAGCCTCCAAAACAATACAGAGAAACCCTGTCTCGTAAAAACAAAACAAACAAACAAAAAATCAGTCATGACGCTGTGACTCTTGGTGGCCCTCCCTACTCCATATTAATTTTATAATTAGCGTGTTAATGATCATAGGGAATCCAGCTGTGGTTTCTGTTGGGCCCTGTAACGTGAGGTTTTCTGCCCAGTACTGCAGCCACCTTAGAGCCCCAAATAAACAATGGTATACTATATTGGTTATGAATACTGTTGGCCTTTGGCTAAGGTTTATTGGCTAGCTCAGTCTTAATTATTAGCCCATTTCTGATAATGTGTTTCTATGTGGCCTTATCTTACCAGAGATAAGGTCTGGGCCTGTTACTCTGTTGGGGTCTACATCGAGTCTGTTCAGCATCTCCACAGAAAAGAGAGAAGAGAGAGAGCAATTTCCTGCTTGCCCCCGTTTATATACTGATCCTGCCCTGCTATGTCACTTCCTGCCTGGATCACATGGCGACTTCTCTTTACTACATTTCCCAGAATCCTCCTCAACTCCTAGTCCCACCTACCTTGCTTCCCTGTTGGCCAACAGTGCTTTATTTATCAACCAATAAGACAAACATACACACAGAAGAACATTCCCCATCATCTCTTTACTGCCTAAATAAAAAGGGTTTTAACTTCAACATAGTAAAATATATAACAAAACAGTTATCAAGTAAGAACTATAGTTACAATATTTAGTTCATTAACATTTGGCAAATTCATAGAATATATTCTATCATCTATCCTATCTTTGTGAGTCTAAAGTCTTATATGTAACTTATCTTTAATCCTAACTAAGGAAAACTGTAACCATAACTATTTGTCTTCATCTCCATCAAAGACCACAGAAGGATAGTATATAAACTCTAGAACAGACAGAGACATCTCTCTGCCTGGACAGTCACCCGAAGTTCCTCTGTAGCATTGGGGCATCCATCTTCAGCCCATAGGCCACAGTGTGTCTGGCAGACTTCTCAGCAAAGCAGGAAATTTTAAACTGTCCACCTATATTGGCAGTTTCTCAGTTATTTTTCTGTGTCCTGCAGAAAGTCTGGCAGACTCCTCCATGAAGCAAGAAACCTTTAGGACTTCCCATCAAGTTCAGCAGTCACTTTCCTGTGGGTCCTGCATGTCCAGTTTATCAGTCAAGAGCAGTTTCTTGCCCAAATGACTAATCTTGCCACATTGAAAGCAAACTCCATAATGAGTTTCTTTGATGCCCATATTCCTTTCTGACATAATTGTTGTGCCAGGAGCAGTTGTGTGCCATGAAAAACCCTAAACCATTTAAATGTCATATTCTGAAGATCTTTGAAAGGTTTGAAGAATATCCATTTGAAATATCTCTTCATATCTTGAAAATCTAACAAAACTATAAGTTTGACTATTTCAGGTGACTATCACCTTACTTAATTATACATTACATTTTAAAAAGAGCTGTATAAACACAAAGTAAACAAGAAGAGAGATATACATATAACAAAAGAAAATCCATTCCAATACAAAGTATTCATTTCTATATCCTATTCCCCTTTTTTTCTTTCAAAAAGAGATTAACTGTGATCATTACCATTTCTAACCAACCCCACAAACATTTATAAACAATATTTGGGAATGTAGTCATTCTCTCCAAACTGCTTCCTGCTGTTTGAGAGCGCTGTAAACCATGGGGATCCTAAGGAGACCCAGAAATCCTGGCTGTAGTGTTCTTCAAGGCTGCCTTGTCCCAGCTGTTTTGATGCGGATCACCTGGGCCACTACTTCAGGGGGTCTTGCTTCATCAAGCCATATTAGTCTGGAAGGAATCCACAGCTTTTCATTTTCTGTGGAAACACAAATAAAATCTCTTTTCCAAAGTAACATATCCTTATACTTAAATTTGAAGTCAAAGCACCTTCAAAGCATATAGGTTGGATCAATCCAGCAGCATTTAGAATCAAGAGTATTTTAGCAGTTGTTGCTCCTTCCTTAGCAACTGAACAATTCAAAGACAGCACAACAGCATACAGCATACAGACTCTGTGTATTTTTCCATCTTTATGTGGCTTTTTTATTTATCTATTTATTAGTATTACTCTATTTCTTTTATTTTTTCCTTTTATGAGACAGGGTTTCTCTGTGTAACTTTGGCTGCCCTTGAACTCACTCTGTAGACAAGGCTGGCCTTGAAATCACAGAGCTCTGCCTGCCTCTGCCTCTTGAGTGCTGAGATTAAAGGCGTGCATGCACCACCACCGCCCAGATACCTCCCAAGTGCTGGGATTAAAGGTGTGTGCCACCACCACTGCCCAGCTACCCTGTCTCTTTTTTCCTTTTTCTATTGTCTCCCAAGCATCCATATATTTTTAAACACATTGCAAACCCTCTAGAGCTTTTTCTTCATCCGAATATGTCTTTACTGTAAATCTTTACCTTTTTATGGCCACACATCTTTTATCTGCTAAACAACAGTGCTAAAACTAAAGCCACTGCGGTTTTATCCACTGGCTTCCCAAGATGGCGGGTGTACATTTGTCGCCAGTACTGAGAGCTGTGCTCACCACCTTGGTCTATGCTGCCATCAAGCAGCATGCTGCTGGCTTGGAGATGTGGTCACGGCCACTGCCAGCTGCCAACTGCTCATACACACCATTCAACTGTTAGCAGGGCCCCGGAAAAGAGCCTTGCAGTTTTTTTTGTTTTGTTTTGTTTTTTGTTTTTTGGTGCTTATACAGAGTCAGGAAAACTCCCCTAAAGGACTATGCTTATCTCTAGTACGACAAAATGCTGCTATCACGAAGCCGCGCTTGTTTTGTTTCTAAGATCCCTTTTTAAGCTTCTGTCAGATTTACATGGAAATTGGTGCCACACATTGAGGGCGCCATTTTGTAACGTGTGGTTTTCAGGCCCTGCTGGGTCCCGCCTCCCTTCTCTTCCCCAAAGAAACATGCAGACAAGATATTAGTTATAAGCTGTTGGCTGGTCACCTATGCATTTCCTTGTGACCTTATCTTACCAGAGATAAGGTCCAGGCCTCTTACTGTGTTGGGGTCTACATTGAGTCTGTTCAGCGTCTCAGCAGAGAAGAGAGAGAAGAGAGAAAGCAATTTCCTGCTTGTCCCTGTTTATATACTTCTATGTCACTTCTATGTCCTGCTATGTCACCTCCTGCCTGGATCACATGGCGACTTCTCTTTACTACATTTTCCAGAATCTTCCTCGACTCCTAGTCCCACCCACCTTGCTTCCCAGTTGGCCAACAGTGCTTTATTCATCAGCCAATAAGACAAGCATACACACAGAAGAACACTCCCCATCATAGCCCACATTGTGTTTCTAGATCACTTTGAGGAGAACTGATGTATTTATCACAATAACATTCCTAATCCATGGACTATCCCCATTTAGTGAAATTGTCTTTAATTTTTCTTAATAATGTTGTATAACTAGTCTATATAACCCTTGTGTGTGTTTTTAGATTTCATCTTAAGTATTTGATAACTTTCTGCTCTTATGTATTTGATACCTACTTGTTCACAGAAATATAAATGATTGTTAAAACATGTGTATCGTGTCTGGCAGTTTTGTTAAGCAAAACCCACTTTTAAATTCTACTAATATTTGCTTCTTATGTGTATAATCATGTTAATGTTAGGTCTCACCCCCCCTTCACACACCCCCACCCTGGGGCAAATGTCCAACAGGTGCAGCTACTCCTAGTATCACCTGTGACTCCACCCAGAACCTCTGGCCCCACCCTAAGCCCCTCCCTTCCAGGTGCAGCTATCGCCTGTGGCTCCACCCAGAACCTCTGACCTCACCCTAAGCCCCTCCCTTCCAGGGGCTGGGCTTCTACTTCTCTTACCCCAGCTTCTCCTCCCTACCTTGCTCAGCCATTTGGGCTATGTGACCTCTTGATCCTCTGGCTCACTCCTGGCTTCTTGGCTCCTGGTAATGTGCCCAAATTCTGAACCCCAAAATCACCAAGAGGCCCATTTCGATGCAAAAGCAAGGAGTCTTTTATTGTAGATGTTTAACAAGGTAACCCCATTAGCTCGGGCCCTTCACCCCACCACCATGGCGAATGGCTGGAGAAAGACCCCTGCCTAAGGCAGGGATCTTAAAGGGCAGCGTAAGGGGAGTGTCTAGGGGGTATGAAACAGTCTCAGGATTGGTGCGCTTCCAGGCTTGAACGACCTGCCCTGCGTTGATTGGTCAACTGGTTGTTATGGCCCATAGGTCCTCCCAGGACGGTTGCTATGCTCTGCACGTCACTGTTGTGCACTTGTCCATTAAGCACACCCAGAGCCGTAAAGCACAGCCCCGCCAGCTAACTTCTGATTGGTTCCTTGCCACGAGGAGGGCATCTGACCTTAGTGACCAGGACAGGAGCGGCAAGGTCATGCAAGCACATGGTAGCCTGTCATGGCTGCTGAAATGGGGGGCTGGTCACTACAGGTCCACGGTCATCCTCTCCCTCTCCCCTGCTATGGCCCTGTTCAGTGTGTTACCTTCCAGATGTCTCTGGCTGTTTTCTCCCTCGTATTTACAATAAACCTTCTCCTCCTTAGAAGCTACATGTCCTCCCTCCCTCCCTCCCTCCT